TAACTGCTCTCTTACTCTCCTACCAAAGGGGACCATTATAATCCATGGGTGTTAAGTAATGTTTTTTATTTCTGTTTTTGTTCTCATAATTTATGTGTCTATGTTGTTGTCATTTTCAATGTTTAGTTTTTTTGTTAGATTGTACTTTGATAATTAATTGGTGTGTGCTTTAGTCTCAAGTTTATTTCCGTGTGATCTGCTCCACTCATGCTGAATTAGTTCCCTTTTTCTCTGACACAGCTGCAACTTCTTTCTTCTCAACTGGGTTTTATTATCTTCCTTCTCACCGCAGTATTTAAGCCCCCGACTTCTTATTTTTTAATGATGGATTCTCCTGTTGCCATCTTGCCTATTTTGTTATTTTATTCTTTTTACGTCTTCAACCACATGTCTATTTGTAAACCTAATATGACTTTTAACCATATAATTCAGATAGATTAATAATACTTAATTTGTCTCAATGGGCCTGCTCAGTGATGGAGTGGATAGCGCTGCTGCCTTGCAGCAAGAAACTTCCGAGTTCGATTTCTGGTCCTGCATGGAGTTTGCTTGTTCTCCCTGTGAATGTGTCGGTTCTCTCTGGGTACTCCAGGTTTCTCCCACAGTCCAAAAACATGACTGGTTAATTTGCTTCTCTAAATTTTCCTTAAAGGAATAGTACACCCAAAACATGATTAGCCTTCATTTTCTACTCACCCCCATGCTGAACAACACTCTGGAGTACTTTTTTGATATCTCAAATGCATCTGGAGATCTGGGAGGCTTCTTACTGTCTGCTGACATTCAAATAATGGAGGTCTATGGTGCCCGAGGGAGAAAGGTCCACAAAAAACGTGTCAATATTCCTCCATACTGCTCGTCCAATGTATTCCAAGTGTCCTGAGTGGGTAGCATCCAGAATTTACTCAAAACGAAGTCATTTAGAATGTTTTTAGAGCATAAACAGTGGTGAGTAGAAAATTAAGGCTAATCATGTTTTGGGTGTACTATTCCTTTAAGTGTATGTGTGCATGTTTGTTTGTCCTGTTTGTCTCTGTGTTGCCCTGCGATGGACTGGTGACCTGTCCAGGTTGAACCCCGCCCATTGACAGCTGGAGATAGGCACCAGTACCCCTCGCGACCCCAGCTCAGATAAGCATGTCAGAAAATGGATGGCTGGATGATCTCTATTGGAAATTAAATGTTGCAGTCACTCATCGTTTTTAACCAGTCATTGTAGGTGTTTATAGCTGTATAGGCAGGAAAAATCAGATTTGTCAAAGCCTTTGAACACTGTTGTTGTTAAAGACTCTTCTGAAAAAGATCTTTACTGCGTCCATTTTGTTATTCATGAAATCATCTGCAGAGGTTCTAAAGGAAGTCCTAGAACAGCATCAACCTTCTTAGAGAAGCTTCTTGAGCTTCTCTAAGTAATTTGCTCTGATGCTGCTACCCAAGCAGATGATAACAGAGATCACATTTTTCACAAAAGACTTTTGAAGATAAGCAATATATTGCTTTTTTTTATTTATAATAATATGTCATATTGATGTGCTGCTGTTTAATCTAAACAATGGGTGATTTAAAATGTGTATGGACGTTTTTAAAAGCTTATATTAACCTTGTCAGAAATGCATGTGTTAAGCTAATCACGAGTCTTTGCAATATACCATTGAGCTTGAAACATCTGAAAATAGAGACTGATAAATATTTGGCTACTGTGCATCGTATGTTTTAGTCTGAATCAGTATGCAGACCTCAAAAATATTTATTCAAGCTAAAAAATAAAAAAATAAATAAATAAACTGTCTTTTTCTAAATAAATCTGTTTATTGATACCAGGATTTTCCAAGCTTTCAATCAGTTTACCTGGTATCTGAAGATGTATACAGTAAGTGTCACAAAAAGCAGAAAACAAGAGTTTAGGGGCTTTTTTCAATCAATCAATCAATCAATCATTTTCTTTATTGTCAACTACAATTTACATTGTAATCGAGATTTCAGTTTCAGTACTACCTGTTATCACATACATCACATACATTGGGCTGGGGGGAGGGGGGAGGTGGGGTGACAGGGGGAACGATTAACTGAGGCCTTGCGTGCCGCAGAACGCTGCCGTTGGCGCATTCTTATGGTCGCCAAGGGCCCCAACATGAGGCGGTTCCCTATAGCGCTGTCTTTATCTCTGGGGAAAGATAGGAGACACATTGGGAAGGCAGAGGGGACAAAAAAAGCATATTTCACACTTTATCGTGGATAGGATACAATTTAGGATACAAAAAAAAAAAAACTCAGGACAAGAAATGCACATATAAACACGAAACAAACATTTCAGCAGAGGGTCACATCGGAGGCTAGAGCCACGTGAAAGTCAATCTGACATGTAATCATTAGTTGTTTGTGTGTATGAGTGAGTGCATTCAGTTTGTCTAAGAACCTATCCACAGGCCATTGTCCTTGATAAGATGGAAGTTCATCAACCATCACTACAGTTCTGGATGCATCCACAGGTAGGGAGAGGGGGGGGGGCAGTTCTGGGCCCTTCCGCCATAACATCCAGGGGAGGTTTGATAAGGGGACGCAGTATCCAGAATAACACTTATTGTTTTAAGAGCAGACTGCACAGGAATTTTCCGGCAGCCTTGAGTCTTTTATTGCTGGCTCTACATGGCAAATGCAATATTCAAAATTCATTGGGCTTTTCCGCCTTAAAGCAAGTGTGCACATCCAAGATATTATCCCTTCTCGTTTTGAGTTCACCCACCGCACCATCCTGCGTTTAATCACAGCGTTTAATCGCAGCCTGATCAATGCCCAAATTGCCCCCGACATCCTCTGTAATTGTAGATACATCAGGTATCCTCCAAATCCAAGCAGGAGAAATTCAAGTATCATATATCCGAAAATCCATTCATCTTCGATATCCTCCACTGACAACATTGTAAAACGCACCATCCTCCAAGCCTTCTATGAGTCTATGGTGTATCCCACAAAGTATGTCTCGGCAGGACAGGAAGGGTTCCCCTTTTCCATGTCTTCCAGTAAGAAATTTTGAGAGACCAGCTGACCAGATCCATCGTTTGAATTCGGTTGATATGAAGAGAGGGCTCAGAAAAGACAAGACACAGCAAAGCAGGGACAGATCAGGGAGTTGCATAGCAGCAGGAAAATGCGACCGCCTCCTTCAAGTGTCAGAACAGAAGACTTTTTGGAAGACTTTATAACCCTAAGAACTTTGGTTTAAACTTAATGCTCTAGTGGTTACTAACCAGCTACAGAGGGTGGACCACTTACTCCATGAGATACCTTTTTATATGGACTGTAAATGGCCAGTAATTAATAAACTCCAAGGCCCCCAAATCCCTTTACTGTACAATTCAGTCATTCGCCTATCAACACGCTGATGATGGTAAGCTACGTTGTAGCCACAGATTTGGGCAAACTTCTAAACAACTGGTACAACCTGGTGTTGTGACCACCAATGTCAGATGTGTCTTGTCCAAAGTTATGATTGATTACTGGAGACTTAAACAAGAAACCCATTAACTACAGGAGGAAAGTTGTAACACTTCTTTTACCTATTATTTTATTTGATTTTTAGAGTATTATATGTTATAAAGCAACACAAAGTAGCAGTTATTACATACTTTTTCTTGTTTTTCTCTAGAAAAATCTGAAATGCGTTGTATTGTGCCCCACAGAAAAAAATCTTTTAAATCTGTCACAATCGTATGTCCTTTAGGGTAGTGATCCAAAGGCTATTTCAGTCCGATGAGTAAAAAAAAAATTCAAGTGACATACAGCGAACAATTCAACATAATTATTTAAAATCAAATCAAGAAGGTGAAGTGGAACAAGTAGACGTGTGGGATCTTAGTGAATGTGACCAGATGCAGGTATGGCCAAAAGGGAAACTGAGATCCTGGAGTTAATGCCTGCTGATCACAGACATGATGAAGAGTGGGGATTCTGGACCAAGCGTTAACAGCCATGAAAGATACTGCCAAAGCTTATGTCAGCAATGGAGTTCTTAGAAGCCGACAGGAAAGGTGTCTGACAGAGATCAATCTGCAGGCAGAGAATAGGTGAAAGAAATGGGAGAGCAAGATATGGAGTTCTTGATCACGAGGAAGTTCAGGAAGAATGTGCCAACCATGTGGGACCATCAGACAAAGAATGACTGCAACACTGCTCCTTAAAAACAATGCAGGAGATGATTGTAATGACACACTGCTGTGCCTAGCCTTTCGGCAGAAATTGTCAGGAAAGAGAGATGACTCACATCTACACAAAAGAACAAAAAACATCCTCAGTGGAAGGTTTCAACAAAATGCACACATTTAGAGATGAAAAGTGTTCCCTATTGCTCTCTGCTAAATAAAAAATGTATACCTACGGCAATACCACCATGAGTATAGTGTTTTTACTGTGATATCCCTTAGCAAAAAGCAGTATACTTTAAGTAAATTATATTAAGTATACTTAAGTATAAGTATACGTTTAGAAAGTATACTCGGGCTATGTACTTTTAGTGCACTTGAAGTATACTATTTTAATACTTCTTCGAACTAAATTGGGACATTTTTAAGTTTACAAAAGTATACTGATAGTATACTGTTCCAAGATCATTTTAAGTTTACAAAAGTATACTGATAGTATACTGTTCCAAGATCATTTTAAGTTTACTAAAGTATACATTAAATTATTAAGCAAGTACACTAATCTATATACTAGAAGTTTACAAAGTATACTTGTGGTTCACATTTTAGTTTGTTGAAGTATATTTAAAATATACCACCAGTATACTCTTCAATATCCTGCCAATATAATAGTTATATACTGCTAGTCCATATTTTACACATTCAAGATTTACTGAAACTAAAATACTATTTTAATTTGTATAAGTATACTTAAGTTCACTGACCATATTGTAGCACATCAGATATCATATCCTTACAGTTACCCCATAATGTAGTTATAATGCAATATGTTCCCTGGTAAAAAAAAAATGTGCTTTATTGTATTTCAAGTATATTCATATTTCCTATAGTTTACTGAAAATGTACTTAGACAAATTGTACTTTTTGTAAATATATAAAAAGTATACTAACATTACGCTTTCATGCTAATACTTTTAACACACTTTAACATAATTACACTATGTTACACTTTATAGAAATATATTATTAAAAAAGTATACTTTAAGTGAAAGTTATGTGTAATTTCTAAAGTGTACTTATTTTAAATTTGTTTTTACATATATTTTTGCTATATTTTAAATTGTATGCTCAAAGTTGTCATTGTAACGTACATTGAAAGCATATTTTAAAAGTACACATTTTAATATCGACACTGTAATATTAAGTTTGAGTGCATTTTAAGTTACATTTGAATCTAATTATGAAGTGAAGTTATATACGCTTGTACTTCAGGTAATTCTTTTGGAAAGTGTTCAATAGTATAACTACAAAAATGCACTTAAACCCTATTATGCAATTTTGTGCTGTGTGTAAAGTACACAGATAGCAATTATTGCAGTTGTTATGTAATGTTTAATAAGTTTTGAAAAAGAAATATGATACAATACATCTTACACACAAAACCACATTGAACAAAACACTAAATGTTCACTTCAAAAGTACAGGTGCACAAAAATGTGTGTTCTGCTGAAAAGCAAGTGGTTTAAAGCTGGTGCAGTGCTACATTATGATCTAACAAATAGCATAACCCACATTGCAACAGAAAAGTTAATACTGGCCAAATGCAAAAGAAATAAACTTAACACATTACAATTGTCTCAAGTGTTCAAAAAAGAACATTTCATTAGTATTGTTTAATGGATCAAAGCAGGGCTACTGCAAACAAGACCAATTGGTGAGTGCACATATTTAAAAGTCGCTGACAGCACTTCATGCATATAGGAGTGATATGTGGAGGTTGTTTGGCCTTGATGTCTGTAAAGTAGTAGCTCCCCAAGAATTTTAGTCTTGGGGAGTTTTTGGTTCAGTACTGATATCAGAATTCCCATAGACTTTGAATGCACCACACCTGCACAGCAGTTAGTCACGGCTCCTCCCTGCTCAGAGCTAGCGTGCTTTTCTTTTAAGGCCTTGGTCTGCATGGAGAGAGGTAACTTTCAAAACATTCCCATTTGGTTTTGAAATCTTAAGATATCTGTATAAAACGCGATTTTGATTATTATATTTGTATTGTAGAAACAGGAGATGTAATCGGTTGAGCAGGAAGATTTGCTGTATTATTGTGTTGAAGAATATCCTGGTGAGTTCACATGAACCTGTGAATGAAATATATATATTTTTTGAGATGTAAAACCAGTCAGGATATAATGTTTTGTAATATATGTAATTTTACTAGCTCTTTTGATTTATTGAATGCATTAGCACAGTGAGAAGGAGGCTAACACACCCCCCATGTGCTCTTCTAAAAAAGAAAATGCACTTTCAAGCTAGCTACATCTTGTGTGATGTTGCTGTAAAACCCCCACAAGGGGTTAACGTAAAATTAACCCTTCATAGGTGTCCTGGATTGTTTTTTCCAGATACAAGTATTGACTACTGACCATAATGATTTCTTAGACAGTGAACCACATGTAAATTGATAATTTTACTTTATATTTTTGTCTGTATAAATGTGGTAAAAACCAATTTATATTATGGTGATTACATGATTTATTTTCCAATTGAAGTAATTGCTCTGCACATTTGTGTGCAGGCTGTTTTTTTTTTTACATAGTTGCAGAATCTGCTGTTACAGCTGAGCAGTTCATTGTATGGACTGGACTAGACTCCACCAGAGATGTTGATGCAGGATGTTCCCAATTTGAATGCCATCCGGTTCCTGGAGGGTGGTAGGAAAAACAAGGAAACTTAAGGATTTTTCTTCCCTTTCTTTCTGCGGATTCATAATTTTTTTCTTTTCTGAGATCTCTGACAATTTTTGTTGTTACTTTGTTTAATTTTTTTGATCAGATCTGATAAAACCACTTGATGCATCAGATTTATTTAAATTCAACTGAAATGGACAATTTTTTTTTCTGGTGCACTTATGGACCCTGGTATATCATACTGATACAATTTGTCAGACTTTTCTGATGTACTGCTCAAAAATACTATGAATTTACAGTATCTCTCTGTTTGGTTAACAGACGCTGTTCTTCTGGAGTTTCCGTAGACAAGTGTCTCTGATGTGCGCACGGCCATCAGACGAAAATGTAACAATGAGCAGTTCAGCCAAAAAAAGGAAAATAATGTGTGGTGGGCGTGTTTTTGTATGGTGGGAGGGTTTAGGGGTGCAATAATAAGGAATGTTGTTTTTCATTGTTCAGTATTCCTCTGCGTTCTTTAAAGTTTATTTGTAATGTTTAGGTCTGCTGCCTGAAATTGACATATTTCTACAAAGTGTACTAAAGTACCAATATTTGAAAATGTGTTGTAAGTTTTATAATGAAAATGGTTAACGTCGATATGTAAATGTTTATACATTCTGAGATAGTACAAGTTATATTATTTGTAATGTACTATAATTTGGACATGTTTCAAATACATTAAAGTATATTTTTTCATCTGCACGGAAGTATATCCACAAGTCTTTCAGCATTTAGTATACTGTTAATACATTTGCAAGAATGTGCAAGGTAGAAAGTAGTATAGCAATGTAATGATAAAGTATATTTACTATTAACTGCAAAGTATGCTTTTTTAGTAATTGGAATAAGCCAACAGTATAATTAAGCATATTATTACCACAGTAAGAGTATATTAAAAGTATAAAGCTTATATATTTTTAAGACACTAACAAATCATTTTTAATGTAGTTATAATACAACCATAGTGCACTTTAATTTGACTAATTAAGCATATATTAGTACATATAAACTCATATACTTAAAGTATACAAAATATACTTTAAGTTGTTCCACTTTAGCACATCAAAGTACACTAAATACACTTCAAGTTGAGCTTGTCCACAATTTAATTACAATTAAAATATATTTAGTACAAAATTAGTTGTTCCAAAATAGCATCCTTCAAGTTAACTAATCATAAACACACTTAAAGTATAGTAATGATTAGTGTGCCTTCAAGTACACAAAAGTATGCTAAATTTTAGTACACTTAGCACATTTATTTTTCAGCAGGGTTTATACAATTACAAGACAGTATCTTGATAACTTTGGTTTATTTATATAACATATAGGTTTTTTTTTCTAAATGCCATCTTAAACTATTACAGACTGCATTTCAAAATTAAAAAGCTTCTCTTAAATCAAACCGTTCTTAGGTTTCAATATTAAAATAAAAATGTAAACACATTTACATATGAAAATATAAAAACAATGAAGTCATTCTTTGTCAAAAATTAAAAACTGCAATTGACATCAAAAATCTAAACAAAAGTGTGTTCCAGATAAGGACTGAATAAGAACTGAGAACTGAAGTCCTTGGTTTTCAAAAGAAGCTTAGAAAAGTGCACATTTTCGGAACAAAATATCTTCAAAGAAACAATATTTTTATGACTTTTCATCTAGTTGCTTTGAATAGCTTAAATTGTTGCATTTCTTTCTAATGATCCTCCTGACATCTTGCATGGCGGTGTCGGGGAACTTCGCCTGGGCATAGGCTGTGAGTACAAAAACAAATATACAAACAAAACATTACTTATTGGTAAATTTCTTTACTATCCACATCTAACACACATGTCAAACAGCCATAAAAGAATGTTTTTTCACGTATATGTTTGGAACTTAAATATAATCTATAATATACAGAAACTGCAAAGAAGAAAGATGTTGTTAACAAAGTTCAATTCAGCTTATTTATATAGCGCCAATTCAAAAGCGAAGTTATCTCATGGCACTTTACAAAGACAATTTAATCATATCATACAGACAAATTGTTAAATATTTTTTATCCCCTGATAGCATTCAGTGATGGACTTTGTAGTATTCCCTCCTCCAGAAAGTCCAGAATACCATTTTTCACAGATTCTGAAACTAGTGCCTCTCAAGTGCAGACTCAGGGTCAATCAGAATATCTGAAATTGGTAAGGCCCTATAGTCACACAATATTATAGGTAAGTCAAAATGGTTTAGCACTTGTTGACATAAATACTGTCAAACAGGTTTCTTCCTTTTTAATAGCAGCAGGTTTCCTTTCATGCTTGCTCAGTATGAGGGATTGCTGCAAATCCATGGACAATGCAGACGACTCCCTGTGGCTCTACGCTTCTTCAGGAGTGATGCTGCTTGGAGAGACTTTGATGCAATCAACTGGTTCCCTTATTTAGGAATTTTTTTTTTACCAATCTGTATAATCTGACCCAATCTGTATAATCTGATTCATTTTTTTAAAGTACCTTGAGATGACATGTTTCATGAATTGCCACTATATAAATAAAATTGAATTGAATTGAGTGTGATGTGCTTTGATCCCTCATAAGTCTCCATCAAAAATGGCCCTTGTTTGGTTTAAAATATGGCGCACACACTTTCTCGATTGTAGCATCAGTAAATAACTGATATGCCTCATGGCCTCTTAAAAAAAGAAAAATGTGCATTTACCTGAAATACTTTTCCACAGGCCATCCACATACTTTTCAGGTGCTGCTATTTAAGCATTTGGTGCTAGACTATTCGAGCCTCTAGCAAGACTAACTTGTGTTTAGTTCTGCCTGTTCCTGACCTGTTTCTGCACAGGGACTTCTGAGTTTTGCCCCTGTTCTGCTCTTGCCTGTCCTTTGTTTCTGGGCTGTTACCTGGATTCCACCTGTTGTCGACCTTGGACCTGCTTTCTGACCATGGCTTAGATTTACCCTCTTGGATCCTTCGGTTCCTCTGGCTGCTGCAAGACGCAGCCCCTCTTCTCTGGTACTGGCTCAGTAACAAGAAACAGAGTATCGCTCCTCTGGACTTCACTCCTCTCCTCATTTGCTCACACTGAACTTTGCCAGGTTGGTGGCTTTCATGACTGAGATGAAGACAACATTTATTGTCATTTTTTATACACAGAGTGTATACAGAGAGCACACTGTAAACCCCAACAGGTTCAATGAACTCAAAATATTTGATGAAACTGATTACCTCAAAATATTTAGCTATGTTAAATAATATTTTAAGTAATTTCTACTTAAAATGAGACTTTTGTTAGTGCTCAAAATCTTTGAGGACAAGGATAAAATTAAAAAGAATAATGTGAGAAAAAGATGTTTTAAGTAATTACTACATTAGTTAGACAAGCTCTTACACTTAAAATCTTTGGTCAAATGAACAACATTAAAACAAATAATTTCAACAAACAAGCATTTTAAGTAATTACTACTCTAAACTAGAAAAGTTATTCACACTCATTTTTTTTGAGGAAGTTGATGAACTGAAACATAATAATTTCACAAACTAACATTTTAAGTAATCAATACTTAAATTTTTGATAAGTTTAATGAACCTGATAATTTTGAAACTAATGTTAAAACTAACAAAATTGACACTGGACACAGAGTTGATTTTTTTTAAGTTATCACCCCTAATAATATCTTCATGTTATCACCATGAATCATTCAGTTTCTCAGACCTAAACATTGTCAATTCAGCCTTTTATATTTTTAAGTTGACTTAACTGTATTTAAACACATTTTATTGCCTGTATATGTTAGCAATTTTTCTCAAAATCAAATATATTTTATTTGTAGATTCAAATAAAAAAATATTCAAAAGACAATTTTACTGCAGATTCCATTTATTTATGAATTCCATTAGAATTCAGAACAATGTCCCCAGCAATGGGGTTAATACAGAAAATAAAATAAATAACAACCACATTTTCAATCAAAATGCTGAATAAATACGGTTTTATTTATTCAGCAAATAAAACCGTAAAAGATCTTTTAGTTCCCAGTGACTTCAAGGCAGACCAAAGTATTTCCGTACGAAACTCTGGGACCTCAAGCCAAACACTGAAATGATCAAGTCAAAAACAATTACAAATCTGCAGGTCTGTTTAAAGCTGCCTTCTGAAACATCGGCTTCTCTGTATCCACAAAAAACGAAAAATTGGCCAACATAATAGGCCGATCCAAAAATAATAGGCCAACAATAATAGGCCAACATAAATAAAAAAGTGAAAACAAAAAACAAAGACAAAATGGTTGCTTGAGTATCACCATGCTGGTAGTAACAACGACATCTTTTAAGCAGACTGCTTACTCATCCATCATCAGATCATTTTTAAGGCTAAGCAGTCTCCGCTTCAGGTCATCCAAACCCATTACAACTTTCTGAATAAAATTGAATGTATATGTCAATTTCTTGGGATACTGTAGATGTAGTGCATAAATCAAGCCAAAAAGCAAAATGAATGTTAACTGTGCTATATCACATACCACAATCTCTCCCTCAAGAACTATAGAATGTATTGCAGGACCAAACTTCACAAGGGAGACTGTATCATTCGAGACAGTGAGAACAGCTACAGTTGTATCCGAGAGGTCTGGCAGGTCAATGTTTAGGCAGGTCTGCCTAAAAAACATGACAGTAATTAGTTAATGAGTAGAGCAGTCAATGAAAAACACTACATGTGTATTTAATATGAAATACCAGTGAATGAAAAGTTCAGGTAAAATTCCCAAATATGACATTCTTGGAGAATTACTGTAGTACAGTATGATTTAATAGCTTTTCTGGTGGCTAGGAAGAGGGTTGTGGTTGTTGTCTTTTGGCAGTAACAGAGGGTTAAATAGAAAAAAAATATATTTATAGAGATACACAAACTAAGAAAAAGAAAGAGTAAAAGAGTACACACAGTTGAATCTAGGGCTGCAACTAACGATTATTTTAAAAATCGAT